GATCTGAAGCAGGCTGTACGCTGACATCAGCACAGAGCCCGATATGAGGTTCAGACTCACAAACCGTGAGAATAACAGATTAATTGCCGCAACAACTTCTTTCTTAAATTTTATAAAATTAACTGTCAGGTTGGGATTTTGTAATTGACAGAGAATAAAATATGGAAATATTGTCAGAATGGAAGGATGATGGACAGCATGGGCTTGTGTTTAGAAAGAACTGAACTTGAATCAAAGCTATGGCATTTCCTAGCTGTGAACCTCTGGACGAGGACTTAACCCCTTTAAGCTTTAGCTTCCTCATCAGAAAAAGGGTATATGATGGGCTCTTCCTGGAATGAATGAAATACTGTAGGTAAAACTAATATGATACCTTGCAACGAGGTATTACTCTCCAGGGCACGTGTTAGCAAACTGTGGCTTCCTGTATCCTAAATAAAGTTTTATTGGAACAAAGCCCATCTATTCATTTACATATCGCCCACGGCTGCTTCCGCACTATAAGGGCAGACTTGAGTAGCTGCAACAGAGACCCTACAGCCTGCAAAGCCTTAATATAGTATTTATTATCTGGCCCTTTGTAAAGTGTACTGATCCTTGCTTTAGAATATGGGCCATGTTAGCTGTTGTGTCCACAGGGACCAGAACAGTCTGGCACATGGTAAGCACTCACGTGGTGGCTTTTTTTGTGTGTTACATGCGACAAATAAACACCTGTTTTTTTGGTCATCGTTACTAGGTTTTCTGTATTTTGCAGCTGAACATATTACAAGAAAGCAGTGAGATCATAAAAATCAAGCACGATAAAACTTAAAAGTCACCAGCACAGGTGCTGGTGCACAGGAAGATGAACAGGTTTGTAAATTCTAGAAAGGCACTGAACTTGGGGTCAGAAGAACATAGTTAGAATCTCAGCTCCACCATTAGCTAGTTGGCTGACCCAGATACGGAACAGTTATGAGAATCTTCGTGCCCTCACCGCTACTATTTATCGTTTAGAAAGGCATCTCCAGCTGGCTCAAACAGGGCAAGAACGGAGTCAGGGAAGCCATTAGGACCTTGTAGTAATTCAGGCAAAGGTGTTAGAAATAATGAGATAGCATATCCTCCAGTGTTCTGAGAATCATTATTTTAACACAATAAAACTTTATGAAACAATGTTCCATAGAACTTACAGCACGGTATTGTAATTATTTGTTTCCTTGTCTCTCTTACCAAGCTGTGCACTTTTTTTTTCTCTTTCAAGCTGTGCACTTCTAATGAATGGAAACCATAACCACCTCTTGCTGTCACTTTGTATCACGTGTCTCCCATGATATAAAGTATGAGGACTGAGGCAGTGTAGGCACAAGAAATTTGTTGGATAAATAGAATGCAGAATTAGATTTGGCCCATCTGTGGTCATGCGCCACATGAAAAAGGACTGGGAGTCAGGGAGGCTTAAAGTTTAATTTAAGTACGAGGAAATGGCGAAGGGTATTTGGAGACAGGAATAAGCTGAGAAAACACTATTCACACCCACTTTTAGGTATGCGACAGATTGGTTCATTCACCACCTACCCACTCGCCTCCTGTGTATGTCTTCCTTGCAACACTCTCTTCCTTTGCTGTGACGAGTCCCTCTCCTGGTTTTCCTCCTCCCCATCTGCACCTCCTCTGACAGTTCTTCCCTCTCTGTCCATCCCTTAAATGCTGGTGTTCCACGCTGGCTTCCTTTCTACTCTCTACGCTCTCATCCAGTTTCAGAACTTCAATTAATATTTAAAATAATCTTGCGGGGGAGCCTGAGTGGCTCAGTCAGTTAAGCGTCCAACTCTTTATTTCGGCTCAGGTCATGATCTCACAGTTTATGAGATTGAGCCCTGCGTCGGGCTCTGTGCTGACACTGAGGAGCATGGTTGGGATTCTCTCTCTGCCTCTCCCCTGCTTGTGTGCACACACACACACACACACACACTCTCTCAAAATAAACAAACATTTAATTACAAAAAATAGTCCTATGAGTCTTAAATCTCCATTTCAGCTCACATCTGTTTCCTGTGCTCTGGAAAATACACCCACAGGCCCTGCCCACTGGACGTTTCCACTGGGATGTCCACTGACACCCCCAAGTCCTCATGTCTGGGATGGAACTCATTGTCTTTATCTCTTCGCAGACATGGTGAGGCTTTCATCCCCAGTGATTGGTACCACTGTCCCCCAGATGGCAAAGCTGGAAAACCCAGCTGCTCTGAGCCTGCTTTGTCTCACAAGCCCATCCATTCAGTCACATCCCCAACTACCTCCTCCTCCAAAACCTCTTGAATCCACCCATCTCGCTCCAGCCCACCACCTCGGTTCTCCCATAATCCCTTGTCACTACGCCTCCAGCCAGAAACACAGCAAACCCCTAACGGCCTTCCTGATTCTAGTCTTTTCCTATTGCAGTCCAGCCCAGTCGTCTTTCTAAACCATAAATCAGATCATACCATGTTCCCTTTAAAACACACTGACAGCTTCCCGAACACACGAGCTTGGTACAGAACTGTGCTGTCCCACACAATAGCCGCTAGCTACACGTGTCTCCTGAGCACCTGCAATGCGGATGGCATGAATCAAGAGGGTCTGTGTTGGATGCACACCAGACTCAAAGGCTCCGCATGAAAAAATGTGAAATAGTTTATTCATAGTTTTTGCTCCTGATCACATGTTGAAATGGTAATGGTTTTGGACGTATTACATTAAGTTACAAATACTTTTAATTTCACTTTTTTTAAATTTTTTTTTTTTTTTTTTTTTTTCAACGCTTATTTATTTTGGGACAGAGAGAGACAGAGCATGAACGGGGAGGGGCAGAGAGAGAGGGGGAGACACAGAATGGGAAACAGGCTCCAGGGGTGTTGCCTCCCCCTGAGCCATCAGCCCAGAGCCTGACGCGCAATTTCTGTCCTCACGGGTCAAAGCACAGATCAGTGACCTGGTTGCTGAAGTCGTGATGCTTTTTTAACCGAATCATGCCACCCAGGCTCTAATTTCTGTTTCTTTTTAAAACAAACTGTTAGAAATGTAAATTACATTAATGGCTCATTTTATTTTTACTGGACGGCAATGGTATAAAAGTCCTTCGAGATGTGGCTCCCTGCCTACTTTTCAGTTTCCTCTTTCTCACCTCCTTCACCTAAGCCTCTCTCCTCCTTACCTGTCACCCCCCAGCCTTCCTTGCACGTTCCTGCAGGCTGTTTTCTGCTCTTTATACATGGGTCCCCCCTCTCACTGGAACATTCTATTATTTTTAATGTTTATTTATTCTTGAGAGAGAGAGTTGCTAACGAAAGTGGGGAAGGGGCAGAGAGAGAGGGGGAGACACAGAATCCGAAGCAAGCTCTGGGCTCTCGCCAACAACAACACAGAGCCCCATTAACGGGCCGAACCCACAAACCAGAGATCATGAATTGTTTGTTGGATGCTTAACCAACTGAGACACCTAGGCTTCCATGGAACATTCTTTCTATTAGGTCAACTCCTACTGGCCTCATGGGACTCAGCTTTGTAGCATCTGGGAAGGATTTCCTGAACACCAATGTTATTTGTTACCCCCACTGCCCAATGCTCCCTGGCTCCAATGGAAAACACCTGTCACATGCCCTGTGCTGGTCACTGACTAAGCTTGACACCCCGCCCGGATCATACATTCCCTGCACCTTAGTTACCGGATCCCTGGAGCAGTGGCTAGCAAGTCCTAGCTACTCTGTATACAGAATGGAAGAATAAATAGAAATACAGTCAATGAACTTATAGTTGCATAGGGTGCCTAATACAAGAGTCAGATACAGCCTTAAGAAAGTGCCATTAGCCAAAACACAAAAGGAACAATAAGCTATGTTCTAACTTTTGGGTTCAAATGGGCGAAACCTTTGTAAAGAGCATGACGTATTTTTCAAATTTTACAATGATCAAACCTATGGATTGGGCAACCCAATGCCCTTGGATCTCATGTACTGAAACTTGAACGTAAGCTTCAGTGTACTTGCGGTAGCTTCCTTTGTTGTAAAAGCAAGAGACTAGAAACAGACTAAGTACCCCATCATCTACAACAGATGTCAATCACGGTCATGTCTATTCAGCAGAATAGCATGCAATGGAGAAGAAGGCAGGGGATTCTATGCATGGGAAAGAAGAGATCTTCATGAGGGGCGCCTGGGTGGCGCAGTCGGTTAAGCATCCGACTTCAGCCAGGTCACGATCTCGCGGTCCGTGAGTTCGAGCCCCGCGTCGGGCTCTGGGCTGATGGCTCAGAGCCTGGAGCCTGTTTCCGATTCTGTGTCTCCCTCTCTCTCTGCCCCTCCCCCGTTCATGCTCTGTCTCTCTCTGTCCCAAAAATAAATAAACGTTGAAAAAAAAAATTAAAAAAAAAAAAAAAAGAAGAGATCTTCATGATACATTAACTGAAGTAAAGTGTAAGGTACATGACATTATATGTTGTTTCCACACATTAGTGTGTTTCAAAAGTATGCGTGTGGGGTGCCTGGGTGGCTCAGTCAGTTAAGCATCAGACTCTTGATTTTAGCTCAGGTCATGATCTTGAGGTTCATGGGATCCAGCCCAGTACTGGGCTCTGCACTGAGAGTTCAGAGCTTGGAATTCTCCCTCTGCACCTTCTCTGCTCTCTCTCACTCTTTCTCTCTCTCTCTCTCAAAATAATAATAATAATAATAAACTTAAAAAAAATGTGTGTGTACAGACACATAACGCAGACTTTTATTAGAAAGGTACAGAAGCAACTGGTAATGGTGGTTTCTGGAGGGACAGACAAGGGAAAAGGGTCAGAGGGAGCTGGTGTTCATCAAGCTCTTTGAACTTGCTAATCCTATGCACATAGTACTTTCAAAACAGTTTAACAAGGGCTTTCTGGCTGTTTTTCTTCTAGGACATGTATGCATGGCCAAAGAACCAGACTGATTCCTCTCCTTTCCCAAGCTGAGCAGATGGTAAAATATCAACATTAATTTCCCATCACTTACCGTGATCTTTTTGTGGTCGGGAAACTCGAGGCCAAAATAGTCCCCTTCCACGAGGTTGAGGTGGTTGCAAACTGCATCCAGCAACACTTTCCCAGGGGCTCTTTGCTGGAAACAGAAACAACAGGAGTCACCCCCTCTGAGACAGGCAGATATGAAAACAAACCACGGCTCCCACCACCAGAGAAGCCTCTTCATTCCTGAATCTTCAGCCCTTCTCAGCTTGCCGCCATCCACCTTCCAGAACCCTGACCGCCTGATCACCAGACCCCCAGCCGCATACCTCTGAGCCTTTTCCAGGCTGTTTTCACACTTAGATGATAATTCTCTGCCATTTTCTCCCCAGCACGGTCCCAGGCACCACCCCCTTTTTAGAAATAGACTTTATTTTTTAGGGAAGTTTTAGATTTACAGAAAACTGAAGACAAAGTACAGAGAATTCCAACATAGCTCTTCTCACCACACACATAGAATCCCTTATTCTTAATCTTGCATCCATGTGGTACAGTGATTACAAATATTGAGCCAACACTGATACATTATCATCACCCAGAGTCCACAGTTGACATTAGGGTTCACTCTGCATTGTACAGTTCTATACTTCCTGACAAACATGTAATATTGTGTATCCTAACATTTAATATCATGGAGACACCATTACAGGATCAAGGAGGATAGTTTCACCATCCTAAGAATCCACCATGTGCCATCTAGTCAACCCTCCCCCGCTTCTCCGAACTCCTGGCTACCACTGGTCTTTCTACTGTCTCCAGTCTCACTTTTTCCAGAATGTCGTATGTTTGGAATCGTACGGTACGTAACCTTCTCCTATTGGCTTCTGTTGCTCAGCAGCACGCACGTAGGTCCCTAGATGTCTTTTCGTGGCTTCCTAGTTCATTTCTTTTATTGCTGAATAATATTCCCTTGTGTGAATGTACCACAGGTTATTTATCCATTCACCCACTGAACGACATCTTGGTTACCACCCCAGTTTAGGCAATTAAGAAGAAAGCTGCTAAAATAGGCATTGAGGAGGGCACTTGTTGGGATGAGCGTTAGGTGTTGTATGTAAGCGGTGAATCTCGGGAATCTACCCCCAAAACCACGAGCACACTATACACACTGTATGGTAGCTAACTTGACAATAAATTATATTTAGGAGGAGGAGGAGGAGGAGGAGGAGAAAGCTGCCATAAATATTTATGTGTGGGTTTTGTATGGACAGAAGTTTTCAGCTCATGATTCTGTGTTCTTTTTGTGGAAGTGGAACCCCAGTCCCTGTTCCTTTTCCCTTCCTCCACAAATAAGGCAGAAATTATGGCTTTCTTAGGTTCCCCTAGCACTTTGCGCAAATTCTCATCCATACGACACCCACACTGAAGGTAAGAGCGCATTTTATTAATCTCTGTATCCGCAGAGCCTAAAGACTGACCAATTTTGAAGTGGATGAACAGATGAATAAAACTTACTCATTCCACAGTATTATATATGGTTATGTATATACAAGCCTGTCTCTCCAGTTCAATTCTGGGCTACTTTATAGTTCACCTTTATATTCTTATTGGCCAGCAAAGCACCTGGCACTCATTCAAATGCCAGCTGAAATCATTTTCTATATACTGAACCTACAGGAAAAGGGAATATGATATATAAGACCCCAATTTCTACCCTAAATGCCTTGGTTTCTCTTCACTGCCTGGTGGATTCCTAATGACCCGCTAGTAAAATGGATCCAATTCCATCACACGGATCAAACGCTGGAAGAAAAATGTTTCAAAAACACAGTCCTCTACAGTTACTGCTTTTATACTTCCACCTTCCCTCTGAGAAGAGCAGAACATGTTAGGAACCAATTAGCAACTCAGGAGACCAATGGTCAATAAGAGAGCCTGACTAATACAGTGATGGGCATGTCCATTAGCCTGGCCAGGCATGACCCGAGGAGGCGTCAAAGATGCTTCAGTGTCCAGAGGTTTAGCATTTTTTTAAACAGATGCCACTTTATATATTCCCATATTCCTCATCACGGAAATCCAGAAGATAGCCAGAGCTATCTGAAGGTATACAATATTCTCCATGGATGATCCCAAACTCACTAGGCTCTTTGAGTGCCTGGTTTAAGGGTCTCTGGCAGAATCGTTTCACGTGAACTGATGGCAGGAAATGTGAAAAACAGTAACGTCTAATAAAGAAGGAAAAGAGGGGTGCCTGGGTGGCTCAGTCGGTTGGTTGAGCATCCGACTCTTGATT